ATATAAACTTTGGTCTAAATTTCAGTCTAGACTCCAATTTCAAATCAGTCTACAAACTGATCCATTTCGATTTTACCCTCAAACTGATAAAAATCAGACTGAAACTGAACTGGTTGAACATTTAACATCCCTAAATAAGTTTATTGTAAAGCATATTTAATCTATTATTTTCAGGTCTTCTTGGTATTGAAAGTTGTAACTGTCTAAAAGTTTATATAATTATGTTTAATGGATTGACTTGTAAAATATGTAATAGAATAGGTGAGAATAAAGCAATTTTAAACTTAATTTTGGTAAATTTGAGAATTATTACAATATCTAACTTATCATCAATGTATTTTTTAATTAAAATTCACTTAGATATTGCATTTGTTTAGCCATATATAATTTTATTATATATAAATCTTCAAATGTAATATAATCATCAATTTTTGACACTTTTAGTTCTATCAAAGTTTTTGTGACTTCTACTATACTTACAATTAAACAAAAATTCATCTTAAGTTTCTTTTATATATTAAAAAAATTGTAAAAAATTACAAAATTTATTTATTAATTTTGTGTTATAAGATAAAATGGTAATATAAATACATTATAAACTAAGGACAATGATTTGTTATGGTGATATAAAGTAAATTTTATGTGTAATGTAAATCAATTTTGTGTTATATTATATAGTGATTTAATTTTTATTAATTTTATGCAATTTTGTGGTATTTTTTATAATATTTATGATATTTTGTGATAATTATATATTATAATTTTATTACAATTAACAAAAAAAAATTATAAATTATTTAATTATTTTGATTAAAATACATCATATTAAGTTGTTTAAGTGATTCTTTCAATTATTATCTAATAAAGTATTGTATAAAGAAAAACTACACTTAACAGTACAGCTTAATATAGATAACCAAATATAATTCAATAATATTTAATAAAGAATTGGTAAACACATTGCTAAATTATTTCAATAAATATCCAATTTACTTTTATCTGTATTTTCATCAAATTCTTATCCACAATAAATACCCTATTCATATAATAAATCATCAGAAGGATTATTAAGTTCATTAATAGTTGAATATTGATAAATGTTATATCTTTGAATATTATTTTCTAAATGCATATATTTAGGATCAAAATGCGAGTTGCATAAAATAATGAACGAGTTAGATGATTTGGAATGTATAATTCAAATTTTTTGTATGCTATCTGAAATGCTGCTTGAAAAATAAAATAAAAATCTGATGGATTAAGATAAAGTCATGTTATAAGATTTTTAAGTTCTATATCAAAATAAGTAACAATTCAATTAGATTCAAGATAAAATATTAACCTTATTTTAACAAATGAAAAAACTGGTTTGTTTTGTTGTTGAAAGAAATTCAGATCTTGAACAAATGCTTTAGCATAAGTTGAAATAAAATTTATGTAGATTATAATAGTTTCTAATTGTTGTATATTTTGTAAAATTGAATAAAGAGCACCTATTGTTTTATTTTTCAAATCATTTTCATATTCAAATTTGTAAAAATCTTGCTAATATTGAATATATTCTTTAATGTAAAAAACAATTTTAAACTAACTATTTCATCACATTTTATTTAGTAATAGAATTTTACATGGTAATGCAATTCTATTCATTTGTAAATAAGTTATATAATGAGCTTTTCATGCAGATAGTTTGACAAATAAATCCTTTACTTTAGCTAAAAAAATTTTTAAAAGTGAAAATTGTAGAAAATCATGCTAAGTTTACTGTTTAAAACATATATTAAGATTTAATATTTGTAATAATTAATAAATAATATAATAAATTTAATTTAACGTAAACTTATCCAATTAGATTTAATATATGGAAGGTTTGCTAGGAAAATGGATTCTGAACATTTTGTATTAAAAATTAAAATTTTAATAAAAAATGCTTAGAGTCCCATTCTTTTTTTTTAGCAAACCTCATATATGTACAAGACATGATAGATGTATTAATTGCGGTATAATTGATTTTAAAACTTTGCGATAACACTTTTTCATATATGTAGCAGAATTAGAGAGAAATAAAAATGGAAGATTCAAAGGTATATAGATAGTATTTTATTAAAATTGAGGTACAGATCATATGATTTCCTATATCTCATAACCCACTTTTAATAGATCAGCTTTCATATTATAAAAAAATAATATAGAAAAAAGTGTTTATGCAATTATTGAATTATTAACTTGTTCTAAAAAATCAACAGATACTAATTTAGTATCTGAATGATATATAAAAAAGGTATTAACTACACTTCATGTACAATCATCACTCCATAATAATACAAACAGATTTAGCATTAAAAATTAATTTTAAAGTATCAACATATTTGTGAAAAACTCTAAACAAGTATAATTGATGCAAAGTTAATGTTTGTGAAATTGCTCCTCCTTCTTTTAAGTATTTTTTAAAAAAAGAAAGTAAGTGATTCACTTTTTTTAATGGGATATTTGCATTAGCAAATGCTTCTATTAAATCTTTTATCACTACTTTTTTTGATTCTGAGACAAGTAAAGTTGTTTGTAATGTTTGTTAGCTTTTAACTTTTTTATTTGTTTCAAAATTTTTTTTTGTAAAAAATGATTTTTACTTATGCAATATGCATCTATTGTTGATTTATGTTTTCATTCTACTGAAAAGTTATAATAATTACAAAAAAGTAACTATTATTAACATAAAATACTTCTTTGTATTCATCAATTTGTGTATGAACTGTTATAGAACTGACTTTTCATTTAGACGTCATTTTAAACAAAGAACAAAGTTATCTATGATTTATATGATTTTATTACTTATAGTTTAATAGATTTATAGACATATTAAAAGATTATCTATACTGTGTATTATGTGTTTTATTGTTTATAATTGTGCATAATTATGCATATAAATAATAGGTCAAACAATTTTGTGACATTATATGATAATAATAGGAAATTTTATGTTTATTACAAAATTTTGTAACATTTGTGATATTTTGCAAAATGCTATAGATCATCATTTCTGTTACGAACTTCATTTTAATATATTAATAAAAAATTGATTTTGCTAAATTAAGATATTTATTACATTTCGTTATTAATGAAATAATATAAATTAGAATATAGAAAGTAAAAAAGATCAAGAAAGAAATTCTATAGGGTACAATTATCACTTGACATATATATATATATAACTGTTGTTAAACAAAACAAATTTGGTAATGACAGAAGGAAAAAAAAGGCAAACGTTAAACATAATATTAAATTGGAATAGCTTTATTGTGAGAATTCTTAAACAAACAAAATATAGTAATGGTTTAATTGGATAAAAATTTATTTCTAATGTAATTATTATCAATTCTTTTGTAAATTGCAATATAATAAATTATTAGAAAATTTGGATGATAAAAAATTGCTTATAAATTTTCATGAAAATTTTTTTGATAATAATGTTTATGATATTTATAATAATGATATTAATTATATACTTTTATTTCAATAAATAATTAATAAAAAATATCACATTATGTATTTTATAACTATATTATGTTATTTTTAATGGAATGCTTATTTTGGGATAATATTAAAATCAGAGAGTACTTATTTTTGTGACTTTATGATAATATAAATTATAAATTATTATTACTATTATGATAATTGCAAATTTTAAATCTTTATATGTAATATTATGAATTGTAATACTTTTTTAAATTAACAATTGCATATATCATTTTTAACTGTAGTATAAAATTCATTGGAAAATTCTAATACAGAAAATGAAGATGAGAAGAAATTGGAAATTAAAATTGATGATAAAGAATAAAGTGATACAAGAAAAATTAAATATATATTACAAAGCAATTCCTTAAAAGATAAATCAATTCGTTATAATTTTATCATACAAATTTAAGGATGCTTAAATATTTTATAAATTTACATTTATTCATATTATTTTACTATAAATATTATCAATAGGTAATTTTAACTATTTCTAATAATCATACATATAATAAATAGCATTATAAACATTTTATTTGCTCTTTTTCATTATCAGATTGTCTACTGAAGTTTGGAAATTTTGGTTCACCTTTAATAAATAAAATTTTTTTAAATTCAATAATTTCTCTCGTTGGAAAAATTTTTTACTGTTTTTATCATTAATTTTATCATGTAAGCGAAGTAATTTGACGACTTGTATTTCCTATAAAACATAAAAATATAATTATTAAAAAAAAATAAAAAGAAAATAATACACTCTCATTTTCCTTTTTCAAATCCTCTAATCTTTTCAAGATTACCGCTGGTGAACAGAGAAAGCAGTGAGAATTTTGCTAGACAAAGTCTTTCAATGACGATATGTTGATAGATGGATGCATTTCAAACAGAAAGGTTACATAAACCAATTTACTAAGGAAAACTGAAAATTCAAGTAGCTTATCTTTTCGTAATCGTAGACACATGAGTGATCACTGCTTAGAACGCATCCTAAGTCACTCTAACCTTTTCAAAATCAGCACCGCAAAAGAACGCTGGTGAACGTGACTCGCCAGAGCAGCAGTATAAACACAAAGGGCGATCGCTTATTGTAGCTTTTCATTACAAAATTTCGTGTGAACTCTCCTGAACCCTCCCAAACGCAGAGCTGCTAAGAACGCATCCTAAGTCATTCTGACCTTTCACCGCAAAAGAACGCTGGTGAACTTTCAAGATCAGCACCGCAAAAGAACGCTGGTGAACATGACTCGCCAGAGCAGCAGTGGGAAATTTAATTGACATTCAGCCACACTTTGTCACCTGCGTCCTGTAACAAAGTCCTCAATGAAATAAAGTATAGATTGCGTTGCTTAAATTTCGTGTAGGATTATCTTTCATCCCACGTGACTTAATCACCGGACACGTGAGGATTTTACGCGTTTTTCACGCGTTTTAACATAATATTCTAAAAGAATTTTTTTTTCCTAAATTTCAATATACTTATAACAATGTCTAACGATGTTTTCAAAGATAATAGCAATAAAAAGGAAATTGGTAAGAATGTTTGACAATCGGATGACTGAAGACCGTTCAAACTAACTAACGCTTTCAATAATGACAGAAAATTCTCCACCCGTTATTATGGCGAAAGATTTCAGAAGTTGGAAAGTTTCCGTTACCCGAAAAGGAATTCTGTCATTTTTCAAAGAATACCCTGCCAAATCCTGGTGCTTTCGAAATTTTTTTGAAGACATCATTCAAAGCTTAGATGAGCTTCCAGCCACATTTAAAGAGATCGAAGTTTTGTGGACAGAAAACCTATGGAAGATCAAAAAAGGAAGAGGAAAACAAGTATCTCCGGGACCTATTTGTTCTTATGTGGAAGAACTGCTATCATGGGACAAGGTAAATACTTTATTATTCATAAGATTGCACTAGGGCGTACTAACTTTCATTCTTTAATATAGTCAATAAAGGAAGAAAAGCTTCGAGAGATGCTCTCTACATCTTTTGATTCCAACGTAGCTGTAAGAGTATCCAGTCACGCCAATGCTACACAAAGAACAGCATTATCTTTTCAAAAAAATACTGTTCGAATGTTGGGCAATAAGTCTCAGGAGAAGGACCAGTATAAAGATGAGGAGGTAATATATGAATCGATTTGTTTATTTGAAATGATAATCTAATAACCTTTACATATAAGTCGGATCTCGAGTCGGATCTCGAGATAATTAGCAATCAGGAAGCGAATCAGAATTTCATTGAGGTAATATACACATCTATTTTTTTTTGTTGATTTCAAATGATTATCTAATAATCTTTACATTTAAGTCAGATCTTGAGTCAGATGTCGAAGGAATTGGAAATAAACGCAAGATGGAAAGTTTACAAGATGAAAATATATATATAGAAAGATTTGAACAAGATAAAATCGTATATAATAACTCATGGATTTTGAGTAGTGGGACTGATGTATTAAAAACATTACAAGGTTATGTCAGGACCATACCGGAGACTCATAAGTGTTTGGAGTGAGTTTTTTTTATCAAAGCATATTTTTTTTTATACTCAAAGATGTGCTAACCTCTAAATTGTCTAATGATAGTCCCATTTATTGGGGAATATTAGATCTTACCGGTAATCATCCGGAAACTAAGGCTTTGTTTTCACTGGAAGAATGGGAAGAATTGGTTAATCAATTTAATGAAGAAGTTCAATTACAAGAAACAAAACTTCCTGAGTTTATATACCATTTTTTTGAAGAAGTGGAACATGTATTGAAAATACTTAATTTTTTTTTCTTTAATTTTATGGTTTGTTGATAATTGGTTAATCATCAAAATATACCATAATAGATAATTTTAAACAGTAAAAATCCAAATCCCATAATAGATATAGATGATATTTCTATTGATAAATTTGAAATAAAATATCAAATAAAGGTAAAGGAGGATGAAAAGCAGCAGATTATTGTTTTGAAACATGCAATCATATCATAGTGAGTAGAACAAAACAATCATTTAGTTTTTATATAATTTATATTAATAATCGTTAATAATTGATAATGTACAGTACATGCATTGACAATTATTTTATTTTTATAGTATACGCAGTCTTCAAGGATTGGAATTACCAATGTCTGAGGCAGATTTTAATAATTTATTTTTAAATATGCTAGCAAGAAGCGTCCTTGATAAAGATAAAATCAAGATGGAATCGTAAGTTTATGATGCATTTATAAGAAATTTATGCACTTTATATATAATATATAATTTTTTTATATTATGTATTTCCTTAGAGGAGAAATCTCATGCTGGGCGTCAGCTCAACGTAGAAACGAAGGAAGATCTGTGATACTAAGAGCAAGAATTGGGCAAAGGTGCGATTTCAAGGGAAAGATCAAGAATACAATTGACAATTTAGAGGCTATTATTGGTCTCAGAAGCGGTGGTCTTCCTGAAGCAAATAGAAAAAAATTTTTCGAAGACCACATAGATCTTGCTGTTGCATTAAGGGATGTGATTTATACATTTTTTAAGTCAAACAAAAATGCATGTAATCAAAAATTGCACTCCGTCTATGTTCTTGGAATCCAATCTTGGGGTAAGCAAATTGCAATATATTCATTCATTTGGTGATAGAGTTTGTAAAGTTTGCTAAAAAGGTTTTGTTCCAATTTCTAGGTTGGTCCTATGAAGTCATAGCAATGGATTGCAAAGCTTCTAATATTTGTCGGTTAGGAAGACTTAGCAAGATAAAATTGCCTAATTCTATCGAAACAATTGCATGTCTTGAAGAAATATATTTAGTTCTTATGAATATAAATGTAATTTGCACTTTTATACACGTTACACTTATTAACTAAATTAACTAAATTAACTAATATTTTAATTAAATTTAGGATACCCTCAAATTAATTGGTCTTCGTGCAAACGATGCCGCTCTTTCCAATGCAAGGTATAACAGCAGAAAAAATATGACGCATAATATAGGAAATGGCGGTTATTTTGAAAAGATCACCTCAACACCTTTAAAAAGAGTTAAAACGGATTAATCGTTCCATTTTATAATACATGTAGATAAAGTATAATGATAACGATTTCTTTTTTCTTGTAATTGTATAATTGATATATGGATAAAAAAAAAAAAAAATTTTTTGCGATAGCTAAAAAAATATTATTATTTCATTTTTCAATATATTCATTCATTGATTCCATTAAAATAAAATAATTGTCGCGATCACATATCACATGAAAAAGGAATAATAGTGCGAAGGCAAATCAAAGTCACGAGACATAGATATGTCTAGGGTTAAGTTTCTCGGCGATTTATTGAGGCAACAAACAAACAAAAAGTGGAGATATATATTATAAAATATTGTTTTATTTAAAATAGAACAATTTTGTGAGACTTGAGACAATTAAAATTGATTAACTTTTTATTTTATAGTATACTTTAAACGACTAGTTTGGAAAAAAAAATATAAATTATACAATTAACGATTTCAATTCTCTTATAAACTATGTTTTTCATATTCATTGAACATATCGATAGTAAATTTGATGTTATATTTATTTGTTGACTCATTAGAATATTTTTTTAAAAAAAATTTAGTTAATAAATAATAATAAAAAGAATAAAATGCTTGCAAATAAGTAAATAATAAAATTACCTTGATAATATCATCCTTAATGCCTTGCGGTAATGAATCCAAATATCTCAAACCACCTTTAGTATTTGGTATTGAATCTCTTCTATGATTATATTCTACAAGAAAAGCTGGAAATCCTACAACTTTAACCCATGAATAAAAAAACTTAATATGACATTAATGAATTCGAGTATTTTGTTTTGATTAAGAAAAAAAGAACATGTAACTTACATTCAGTGGGAAGTTTTCGTATGGTTTTAAAATTTACATTAGATAATCCAAAACATACTTTATTATCCAAGAGATATTTTCCATCATCTCTTAATTGATTTAGTTTGTAAACATCTTGAAGTAATTTATTAATGATTTCATCAAGTTCTTTTATTTGTTTTTGGTTTTCAGTATATTTATCATGAGCTTCTTTAAATTTTTTTGGATTTATTTTATAATGTTCAAGATCTCTTTCAACCTTTCCTTGTATTAACTTTAATTCTTTAATTTGATTTTGTTGCTTTTCCACTTCATCATAATAAATCGCATTTCGAAATTTTGAAATATATTCATTCCATTCTGGATAATATTCATCTTCAAGTGTAGATTTTAAACTCGAAATCCGATTTCTCTTTTTATCCGAGCATGGTTTGAATTTAACTTGAGAACTTTCAAAATCATTAATGTAATCTTTATTTGAATCATAATTGATTGTTCTATTGAAAATAAATCAAATATTTCGTTAATCCTATCCAATTGGCTATTTAATAAATAAATAAATTATTATTTTGACATACAATGAATCAGCCATAGGTGAATTCTTGCTGTAATAATGATAAGTAATTCAAAAAAAGGATTCCTTAAAATTAGGATTATTTTTAATGATAAAACAAACCTTATATTACCATCAGTTTTTTCCTCTTCTAAAGAATTACAAAAAATAACCAAAGAATACCATGAACATATATATATTTATATATGTACATAATCAAGAGCACAAAAACTGAAATTACTTACCATAAAAATCGACACAAACAAAATCATCCTCTTCATAAGTTTTGATTATAGTCCATTCGATATTTTTTTTAATACTATAATTAATAAGTTATATTAACGAAGATATTTTCCTACAACATAAACCCCTCATAAAGAAATATACCTCATTTGTTTTTAAATTTGATTTGAAAAGAATAAGAAAGAAAAATCGCGCGATTTACATAAAAAAAGCCGTATCTTATTATGGGATGGTTTCCATGATGTAATATGGTATGACATCCAGTAAATTTTCGTTATACAGTTGGTATCAAAACGTGATTCATGATCGATAACACTTTTTTAGTATAATATTTAATCCAAATATTAAAGGAATTTATTTCGATTAGAATCGATAAAAATATGGTAAAAATTGTTCACCATCATTCGTTTATTATAAAAATATAACAGAGCAAGTAATTTTATATTGCATAAAAAAGCATTCTAGGAACGAAATAACCAGCCTTTGGTATTTATTGAATGTCTAGAAAAGATGTTAAGTGGAGATAAATTGGTTAATGAAACGGGTTTAAGAATATTATGAAATCATTAGAAATTGAAGGAAAACATAATGGTTTCTATAATGACTAAATGATCCTCTTTAATTTAATTCTGTGAATTTTTTTTTTCAAATGTTTTTCAATATCATCTGAAAATGTATCTAAAATTAATTTGAGAATTTGTCTTCAAAAACATGAGTAAAATCTGTTCGTTTTTTTTGCGTAATTCTCAGAGCTGGTGAAGAATTCAATCACAATTGGTTGAATACTTAAAGATTTAACGGAGTTTAAAAGTATAGCTTGAATTTCTTAACGAACTCACGTAAGATTTCGCCAGCTGCTTAAGTTGTTCGCTATTTGTATCTATTAGAATTCAAGTAATTACAAGCAGATTTCTTCCTTATTTAATCTTTCCTTTACAACACAATATATTTATTGTCAAAAATTTTTTTTTGTAAAAAAAAAAAAACCTTGTTAAGGAATGTGATCATCCTTTCGAACATTGCAGATAAATAGTGTATTATTCGAGTTTATAATTCTATTGTATTAGTAACTGACCATGCCGCATTAAAATGGTTAATAACGTCTAAAATGCCCAAAGGACGATGAGCAAGGTGGATAATAGAACCACAACTACACCATTTCACCATTAAACATAGAGCAAGGAAACGTGTGTCAAATTATATTTCTGCGCCAAACAAGAAATACTATACAGTATTACAGATCGTTTTCATTAAGAAATTCGATCCGTTAACCTTTTAAATTATATTCATTTAAAATCATTTTTGGTCGCATGTCATATTTATTTATTTATACAAAGATTTTTTTCATTCATTATTGTGAATATTTTTAATTATAGTGATTTCAATTTCTTTAATATCATTACAAATACAATTTTGTAAACGTTTTTTTTTTTTCAAAAAAAAAAAACAATTTTAAATAAAATAAAAACTTTACAATTTTCTAAAATTAAATTCACATGAACTTTTGTTTTTACAACTCAAATTATTTTACACACTTTTTTTAGGTTCAATTTCTTTATCTCCATGATATCCTGAATCATCATCATAATTATTTATTTCAACTTTTGGTATAGAAGATGTGGGTCTTTTGTTTACCTCTGAAAGTGCTTTATCTTTTGATAATTCTGTAAATGCATCCACTCGAAAGCCTCCGCTATTACGTCCACCACCTTCACTTGATACGTTAGAATTAAACGAACTTGCACGACTACGGGTTCTAGTACTATTTTGTCCGCTTGAATTTGTTCTACTTCTTCCTACCACATTGCCATGTTGCTTGTCAAGGAAAAAGAATACATCATCATAATCTGAATCATCTGCTCTTGACCAATCAAAAACTTTGTCATCAAGAAAATCAGCTAATGGGAATAATCTCATTTGATATGATTGTGGTCTTGATGATGAAGGTGAAGGTGATCGACTTTTTCTCTTCAATTCTCTTACAAGACGTGAATTATCAAAATTTGGATATATTTTAGGTCCAAGTTCATTAATAAGATCCGTAAGATCATTTGATAATTGTTCACGTACTGCACGAAGATTTTGAATAGATGATTGTGACCATGGTAAAAGCGATAAGAAAAGTGGGCGAAGTGACCTATATACAGGAATAGAAATTATGGTTAGACTATTTAATATAAATATAAACTAAGAATTGTAAGCAACAAACCTGTATACATCAAGTCCAGAATCAGCCAAATGCATTGTAAAGTTACTAACTAAAAAGAAAAATATATATACAACCATAGGAGTCCACCAATGAAGTTGTAATATTTTCCAATCATATTTATAGGCTAATGATAACGTTATAAATGTATAAAATCCATATAAAATAGGCATGACAACTAGAGCAACAAGAAGTTTCCAAGTTGCCAGTACATCACGAGCAGCTACTTTTATAGTAGACGACTTTAAAGCCTCTGTAATTAATGATCACAATATTATTTGTCAAAAAAAAAATTAAAAAAAAAAAAGATAAAAGCAAGTTAATAAACAAATTATATTAAAGCAAACCTTTTGCCTTTTTTGCGGATATGACGCGGGTAATAGTAATTAGTGGAATATTCAATATGAACCTATTTTTAATAATAAATTAATTATATATACATTTAACAAATTCGAAATTACAAAAATAAAATCAAATAAAATCTTATAAACAATTACCCAGGAAAGCCAATAATAGCCCATATTATCAAAACAAATAATCTGTATATCAACAGGATAAAGGCTCTTATTCCTCCAAGCCCTGTTCTATGAACCTGATGATCCTTCAAACCATGATATTTCAGTAATTGATTATATGCCATTACCTTTTCATTCATTTCCTGCACACGTGGATCATCTTTAAATTTCATATAACCAGTAACAAATCGACGATTTAATTCAATAACATCTGATAGTTCAAGCTTATGATGCTCGGGTTTATATAAACGTCGCGCAGCTTGAATGACCTAATAATTAATTGAAAATTAGATAAATGGATATTAAATTTAAATAATGTCGCATTACTCTTAAACAATATACCATTAAAGTTTCATAATCTGGTGTATTCACTGTAACAGATCTCAGAGCGGTATAAATACAGTCTAATAACTTTCCGCATGCTTCTCTCTTTTCCATACCGCCTTTACGATACTTTCCAACTAATTCGGGTGATATTGAGATAGGGGTGCCAAATTCTACAACAGCTCGAGAACGGAAAGAATGGGCATGGAAATAATTTAAACCTAATAGAAAAACGAAAAAATAAAAAAAGAATTCAAGATTAGAAATGCAATATTGTTATATATACATACTTAAAAGAATAAAACCATTCAAATCATACCACATGGTACTATCTTTACGTCCAACTTTGGGTTTGCGGCCATCGCTCCAAGAGCCATAATTGTGACACCAGCTACGAAATAAAAAAATTATTGCATTTATGAAATAATAATATGCTAAATCAACAATGATTATCTTACCTTTCAGTGGCAAGATTTCTGTCCTATCATGACTTCCTCCTTCAGGGAAGATTCCAATACAATTTCCTGCATTTAATGTCTCAAAAACGGCTTTATACACCTGACTTTGATCAACATGAGGCAAACACTTGAATGAAGTTCCTTCAGGATTTGTTAACATTTCTAACGCGTTAAGATCTTTAAATTCTTTCTTGATCAACAAATCTGTGTCTGATACTATATTAGTAACTTCAGATGAGCCACAATCATTAGGAAGTGCAATTTGAAAGCCAACTTTAAATTGTTTTGTGAATTCGGTTCCAATCCCTGTAATACGTAGAGGATCAGTTTTTCTATCATCCAAATGAATTTTCCCTATTCCTTGCTTGGCCAAATCTTGTGGCCTTGCTACGGGAACTGCGATATAAGTTATTGAATTTAATTCAAAATTATTTATTTTTCATTAATACTCGAAGATTAAAAGATTTTGTAACTTACTTGCATGAACAGCACGAGCCATGGCACCAATATATTTACGTTTCATGGACTTTTCCGCAATTAAAAATGAAACTCTACGCTTGGTATTTCTCATCAAATTCAGTGGATCAACAAACTAATATTGCAATCGCGCAAAATTTAAGTAAATCTCGCGCGTGCATTCTTAAGAAACATAAAAAGAAATTTTTAATTTTAATTTTTACCTGATTCGCATGAGGTGCAGCGACAAAAATCACAGGACCTTCCATAGGAATTTTATGTGATCCTCGTGATTTGATTTCTCTGAAAAAATTGTCCAAGACCACATTAAAGAAAAATACCACTATATCGTATATTGTAATAAACATCTTTTCTATTTTTATGAATACTGAAATTTTACAAAAGGAAACGAATTTAATTAGATATGTTGCTAATCAACAAGTCTAGGACGAATGATCTGTAAAAAATGTTTCTAATGTCAAAATAAATTTGCTACTATAATATAGTGAAAAATGTGTAACGATTGTAATAAGGGTTGGATAATTTTCAAATCATCACATGTAAAAAAAGAAACATTATAAATTTTATTCTTTGAATATTTTCGAATATTCGAACGGATAAATATTACAAATTAGGTAATTTTAATTTAATGACATCATTTTTTTTTAATCATTATATCCAAATAAGATTTTATTATAAAATAAAAAGAATTAATTGGGAGGTTTGCTAGGAAAATGGGGCTCTGAGCATTTTTTATTAAAATTTTAATATATGTTGCATTTTAATCTAACATTATCAAAAATTAAAATGCAATAAAAATTAAAATTTTAATAAAAATTTCTCAGAGTCCCATTTTCCTAGCAAACCTTCCAATTAGTTTAATATTTACTAAAATAATGTAATAATTAAAAAATAAATAAAGTTCCTATTAATATATAAATAGTTAATAAAAATATATTATTTTATATTTAATTTTTAAATTTTAAAATAAATTTTATATAATACCTTTTTTTTTATTTAAAATACATTATTTTATTATTTAAAAATTTATTTAAATTATAAATTATTCAAATTTATTATTTTATATTAATTATAATAATTATTAGTAAATATTAAACATATTGGAGGTAGTCAGTAGAAAAGGGGGAAATCCAAATTTTAGGCAAAATTTATATTATTGGATCACTTGACTGATCTTAATCATATGCACAAATTTAGCTTAATAATAAAAATTAATAAAAATTTTGGATTTTTCCCCTTTTTTACTGACTGCCTTCCATATTATATAAAATATCAAATAAATTAATAAAGTTTTTTTAAATTATTTATTTATATTTGAATTTAATAAACTCTTATTCAATAAAAAATAAAATTTATATAAAATTAAATTATATAATTTTGAATAATAATAAATTCTAAAATAAAAATCCTAACTAATCTAACTAATACAAAATTTCAAATAATATAAATTCCAATATTTAGAAAATAATTATTAATTCAATTTTATAAATATTTATTTATCATTATATGAAAGTCTATTATTAAGTAATTTTTATAAATAAACTTAAATTAATTTTAACTAAAATTCTAATTTAATATAAATTTTAATTCTTTAACTTATAATAAGTATTAATTCTAATTTAACTATTTTAATCTTAATTATAATTCTAAATACAAAATATAAATTATTTTCTATATATATTTAGTATTTTAATTTTAGGATTTATCTATATAATATTAGGATTTTGAGTTTTAAAATTTAGAATAATTTTTTATCAGACTAACTTTACTTAAAATAGTTAAAAAATCTTTATAAAATTAATTGATAATATTTTTAGAATATTTTTTTATAACAAAAACTATTAATACTAATAATTTTATTATTTTTGTATTATACAAATAATATTTAGATATTACTAATATAAAAAATAAAATAAAATCATTTGATAAATACTCATATTATCTTGAAATTTTTATTTAAATACAAAATAAGTATTTTTTAAATTTAATAATAATTAAATTAATTATTTTATGATATTAATAACACCAATTTTTTTTTATAAAACTATTCAAAATAATTTATAATTTTAATTATTATTAAAATTTATAAATATAAATAATTTATGCAATATTGATTATTAAATATAAATTAACGACTATTATGTTTATTTTTAATAAGAGTTTTTCATTAAGTTGTATTTAATTAAAATCAAATTAGAATATTTTAAAAATGTGTAATTTATTATATTTTGATGCTATAATAATTAAAAATTATTTTAATATTTATAATATATATTACAAAATAAATCAAATAATAAAAAAATATGTTTTAAAAAATGTTAATATGTAACTATCTAATATTATGAATATTGTGGTTTAATTATATTATTTTTTCTGTTTATCAAAAAAAGATAAAATAAACTCTAATATTACGAATTAATCCTAATATCATAAATATAACTATAAATATTAGGGTTCTGCAATTTGATTTGATTCAATCAAATTCAAATCAAAGAATGATTTATTTGATCAAATCCAAATTAATGTTTGATTTGATTTGATCAAATTCAAATCAAGTATTCAAATATTTGATTTGATTTGAAAGTCATCTCTAAAGCTTCAAAAGTGGCTATTACTAAGAAAACAATAGTAAAAAGCGCCTCCACAGCTTTAGAATGCCTTTTTACTAAGAAAAATATAGCAAAAAATGCCTTCACAGCTTCAGAAATGCCTTTATTACTAAGAAAACTATAGTAAAAAGCACCTCCACAGCTTCAGAGACGTTTTTTACTAAGAAATATAGTAAAAAATACGTCTGCAGCTTCAGAAACGTTTTTTTACTAATAAAATTATTACGAAACCAAGATGGCGATTATTACTAAGTTTTCTTAGTAAATCTGAAGCCACTGGTGGTTATTACCAAATTTTCTTATTAAAACTAAAGCTGCAATTGTGGTTATTACTTTGTTTTCTTAGTAAAAGTAAAGCCGCAATGGTGGTTATTACTAAGTTTTCTTAGTAAACTGAAGCCACAATAGTGATTATTACTAAGTTTACTTAGTAAACTGAAATCGCGATGGTAGTTATTACTAAGTTTTCTTAGTAAAACCAAAACCGCAGAATTATTTTACTAAATTTAATAGTAAAAATGCACCTGCTACTATTGAAGTTGTCTATGAATAGCTGAAAATATTGATATAATTAAATTAAATTCATTAATAAGATTCAAAATAAGAAAAAAAATACCATTTATCTGATTTGATCCAAAAATGATTTCTAAATTTCTCATGGTATATAGTACCATTTCTAGTTTGTTTTCCCTTGGGATTATTAGCAAAAAATTGTTCCATTTTCTATAAAAATTATATTAAATTAACTGATATTCAAAAAGATAATGGCAGTATATTATATAATTTATATATTTACCTTATAATCTTTCATGATTTTGTGAAATTTTTCGCTTGCCTGCCTTCCTAAAAAATTCGTTCTAAATCTTTAATTGATTCTTCCTGCAAGTGAAGTCTATTATGCTCTTTTACAAGTGCTACTACCAAGTGTGTAATTAAGATTCCTCAAAATCGAATCAAATCAAATATTTAAGCAATTTGAATTTGATTTGATTTTTCAAATTAAATCAAATAGAATCGAATTGAACTAAAATATTTGATGGAATCAATTTAAATTGATTTGAATTTGATTAAATTGAATCAAATTGAATCAAATATTTGTCAAATCAAATCAAATCAAATCAAATATAAATTTTTTTTAATTTTTACAATGATATATTAAAATAAAGTTATTTTAAAGTTTTAATTAAGAAAATTATTAGTAA